AATGGTCTAAAACTTTTGATCAGGACATTTTGAAAGAGAGAGATATTGACATTTTGCTTGGTTGGTGCTGCTGTTGTTAGGTTAGTTCTTAGCTGGACTGCAGCATGTGACAGTTAAAAGCTGCACTTTATCTGTTAGCAGTGGCTCATAGTGAAAGCACCCATGCATTTTACTCCTTGTTTATATCCCTCCATCTATTTTCTTAACACGTTAATTTCACCTTCCTCTCTCTCTCTACCTCACTCTGTTGTTGTGACTGCTGTCCCTCCTTCTGGACTTCTCCACAGTGGGTGCTAGCAGCAGCAGCCGCCTGTAAATGTGATGCCTGGTTACTGGTTGGTGCTGGTACTACTACAGCTAACACGCCTGTTAATTTGACATGTTTTGCTCTATCTAGTTTTTAGTTTTAGTTTTTTAGCTCCATTTTTTCACCACTTCTTCCACATTAAACTTCCACAAGTTGCACCTGTGCACCTAAGGTATAGGATGTAATGAAAATGAAAGAATGGGCTGCTGTCAGTGTTTGTACGGCCAGTGTGAACTTTGCTATAATAATGGGGGATAGTTTCTTGCTACACTTAGGATCTTTTAGTACCAAAAGTGTTTCATGCAAGTTCCACAACCTTCCTGGTGCTTTATTGCGCACAGCAAAAACAACAGTTTTTCGTGATTTTTAAAAAAGCTTGGTCTTTTAATGCATGTGGTATATTTTTAGCCCCCCTTACAAGATATTTCCTTTATCACTAACCTGTCTGCACTCCTTTCCTGAAAGGGCAGTTTACTGTCACTACATCGAACTTACCACAGCCGATAGCATGTGTAGACAGGCGGAGAAACAAGGTCAGACATGGGTGTGACTGTCTTGTTGACTGCTACAGTCATTACACGCTATACCACTTGCATGTGAAGGCCCACACTTACAGAAACACACTGAGTAAGGATTTTTCCCCCCATTTTTAGTCTTATTTATTCACCTGATTTAATTACATTTCTCATTCAGCAGGCCGTGTTAATTCTCCAGCTGCAGGTTGTGGTTTATCTTATTTCCAGGAGCACCCTGATTTGTGCAGGGAACACCTGTAATGCTGCTCTGCGAGGCAAGCCTCTGGTGCTAAACTCAGCCTGTGAGGGCTCACTGTCACAAACACAGACACACACACACACACACACACAGTCAGATATTCCCCTCAACTCTCCTTCAAGGACGCCTGGGGAAGACTTGGAGGACAAAATCACACACTCCCTCTACCAGCATCTCAGACGCGCCGCACTTCTAATGCAGACAGAAAACCTCCTCCAAAGAGACTAGGCACACACAGCTCTCTCCCGCGCAGACACACACTTAATCTTACACACACTCAGAGTTGTAGATACACCAATAGTCTGAAAGGCCTTGCCACCTTTCCATCCATAGGAAAAGCAGGACAGTTTAGTATGTGCCATTTTTCTTTCTTTTACTAATTCTTGCGCTTTCTTGCTCTCAGCTGTTTCAAGATGTTGTGTGTGAGTGTGTGTCTGTGTTTGCATGTGTGTGTGTGAGGTAGAGGGGGCTCTCTGGGACTCTTTGACGACCTCATTCACTCCCTTCTTCCCCCCACCCTGTCCGCGCCACAGTCGACATGCCCAACAATGAGGTTGGGGCGGTGGGGGGAGTCAGACAAAAACCACTGAATGCGTCTTCATTTGCCTGAACTTTTCACACGTCTTTTCCCTTTTGTCGCCGGCCGCCAGTTCACTACTGTGCTGCGAGCCACTCGGCCAGTTTCCGCTGGCGAGACAGCCAACCAAAGCAGCACTTTTCCTCCTCCCTCCTCTCTCTCTGTCAACCCCCCCCTTTCCACAATGTTAAGCCCATTTTTAGCTTGACATAATCTGAAATGGTACTTAACTGAATTTATGTCTACCTCAGTGCATTAACTTCTGCTATTTCCTCTTTTATGTTGCTGTTTTTTGCAGCGGGTGCAGCGACAGAGGGAGCGGGAGGGAGGGAGAGATTTGAAACTCAGACCACGGAGTAGACAGCCTATCAGTATTCAGTAGAGAAAGTGAGTGATGGAGGGAGAGAGACGGAGGGAGAGGGAGAGAGAGAGAGAAAAAAGAAGGAGGAGGGGGTGATGTATCAATATTCTGAGTAGTGTTTGAGGGCAAGGGGAACGAATAGAGGAGAGGGGACGGGGGAGGAGGGAGGGAGGGAGATTGGTGGGAGAGAGAGTGCTTGAGTGAGTCTCTGAGTGTGATTATTTGTTCAGGTATATGTTTGCATCTTTGATTGAATGTGTTTTTGTCTCTCTCTGTGTGTAGATTTGTTAGTCTTAGCATGCATGGACTATGGACAGTAGCTGTATGTAACTAAGTGCCCTCAGTTGCAATTTTTGGACGTTGTACTTTTTTAAAAAAAGTATTTCTATTCTACGTGTCATCAAAGGTGTTATTTAATTCAGAGTAGAAGGCAGCAGGCTTTTGCTGACTGGCTAAATATTTCAAATCTTTGTGAGAATCTGTTCAAATCAGTTATATGTCTATGGCAGCTGTGATTGGTCAACTCTGGAGAACAGACGAGGACTATACTCATGACAGCCCAGTCCATTAAAAGTGGGGGCTGTAATGCTCAACTTGACCTCTCGATATCCTTGTTTGTTATGTTTGCGTCTTTAAACAATAATGTAAAAACATATTTTAAACAAACTCGTTTAGCTCCGAGCTCTTCATCTGAGTGTCAGGCTTTGCAGAAACCAGTGTTTTTGAACATCATTTCCCTCTTTTGTCTGTGTTGAATTACCAAATTCAAACTCTAAAGATAGTAACACTGCGTCTTGAGCTATACATTTATGTTGAGCCAAAGCCTGATTTGCAACAGTCAGATAACAGCAGGATGTTTCTGTTTGGTAAATAGTACATCCCTGAGAACGTGAGTTAAAAGGGAGTTTTTCCTTCCCAGTGTCGCCAAGTGCTTGCTCAAAAGGAGTTGTTTGATTGTTGGTGTTTTCTATGGATGATTGCAGGCAAGAGATCAAAAATTATAGCGGACATAATTACACATTGTTCTTGTCTGCACCTGTCTCTGTCCACAACCGAGCAAAAGACAAGAAAAGAAGAGGTCTGTGATGTGCTTATGTCTCCTCAGCACGAAAGTAGAAAAAATAGCATTGAAAACCTTTCAGAGAAGTTGAAAGCCCGGGGATTAGATACATTCACCTCTTTATTTGAAATTTTGTCTGTCTTTAGTTTGGAAATCCAACCTTACATCATTATATATATAACAGAAAGTAAGGTTTTAGAAGTATTAGGGTAGAGTATAACTGATACCCTTTTAAAATAGGCCTACTTCCGTCTTCATTTGCCTTTGCACAATGCCTGTAATGATCATGTTTACCTCAAAATTTGACCAAACTTTTGGCATGATTGGCAACCCGTCAAGATGGTTCAATTAGTCCGCCTTTTTTATTTGTTTATTTTAATTTAATCATTCATTTTGCAGACAGATGATGATTCTTATCCCTACTTTTATTTTTTCATGTCTATTTAAGTGCTATTTATGACACTATGTTTGCACTGAAGCACCGCAGCAATTTCCTAATGTTGTAAACCTGCTCAACATTTGGCAATAAACCCCTTTCTGATTCTGATTTTGTTATTAAATGGGATATGCCAAAAACAAGCAGTCGATAGTCTTGTAGTGAAGTAATATTGGGATAAGCTTCCTAATATAATTCTAATTCAAATCTTGCTTTTTTAAACTTTTTTTTACACTTTAGAGTGAAATTAATAAATGATCATTGGTTCTTTTGTGATTATCACAGCTTTTAGAGTTTAAAAGGGTCCAGAAACTTTTATATTTCTGAAGTTCTGCAAGTAAGAGTGCCTGCAAGAGACATATTTAATGACATCTTACTCTGTGTTAGTAGAGTAAGATGTGATTAAATATGTAGTGTTGCAAAATCAGTTTTACCCCGGTTTGTTTTATTCCTCGAAGCTTCCAGAGACGGCACTGGACTCAGTAGTCATTTCACAAAACCTTTATTCATCTTTATTCATCTTCATTTAAGCGTGCATCTTCTAGAAGGGAAGACGAGGCCGGTGTCCCTCTGCAAAATCGTCACTCCTTTGTTAGTTACTGCCAGCTTTATAGAAGTGACCCCATCATAAAACCCCCATGGTGTGCTGCAAACTCTGTGTGTCTGTGTGTATGCACGAGCACGTGAGTGCCTGTGTGTGCGCGTACGCGTATGCCTATGTGAGTGCACGTGAGTGAATGTATGTGCGTACCTGTGTGTATGTGTGAGTGCACGTGAGTGAGTGTGCGTGTGGATGTGTGAGTGTAACAGTTTAAGCGCTGTGTGTGTGTGTGTGTGTGTGTGTCTGCGTACGTGACTTCCTGGGGGTCATAAAAGTAACCTCACCCAAGCTACACCAAATTCCTTTAGACCACATACAAAACAGAGTTAACATATTACAAATATTGAGACCACCACTCTGCATCCAATGGGTCATTGGCCTCTTGTTGTCTTACATTTACAGATGAGGTGGAGAGTCTCCTGCAAACCTACTTCTAAGTTATAACAATTAGGAGTTTTTATTAAAGGTACAAGCATCAGCAACCCCCAACTGTAGCTTCCTGACTCCTTTTATTTATGACACCAGACCCCAGTGTCCATAAATTCCTTTCTCTCTAAACAATTACACACACTCTCAGGCCACAGCTAAACCAAACTGAAACACAGACCAATCCTTCCTTATTACTGTGATCTAAACAAATTTAACACATTACATTCTAATAATTATTTTTTTGTACTCACTGTAGTTTATGCTTTCCAGTATGCTTTCAAGGTAAATGCTTTGAACTTAGCAGCTCATTTGTGCATTAGTTTGTGAACTTTATGGAGGTTTACAAAATGTAAGGTCTAAGTCATCATCCCTGAGCCTAACCTTAACCCTATGCTATTACAATATTAATTCTTTGGGTTTTTTTTAATTGTTCTCCAAAGTCTTGTTAATCAGAAAACAAAAAAAGTAATCATTCCAACATGCATAAAAACTATTCTTTCCAAAAAACATCCTTTTTTGCTTTTCTCCACAACAGTGTTATGGTTCTGCTAGTCACTGAAGGTGACTTGCCTAAAATAACCTCAGTTAATCACAGTGTGAAGTAAAGGATATGAGGTTTATGTCTTAAAAGACAAAGCGAAAGTAGATAACATAGTTACAGATGATGAATAGCAGGATCAGGAAAGCGTGTCGTTTCTGTTCGTGTCTTTCTTTTAACAAGTCAAACTTTTAAACACAACTTTGATCTTTCGCTAACCTTAGCCAAGGTAGCTCTTATCTTAAAAAATAGTGATGTCACGCTTGTGGCAGCTTTGATTGATTAGGACCTAAGCTGTTTGTTTTCCGTGATTTTAGAGATGGAAAAAATTGAAAGCTGAACACGTCAAAAGTAAACATCAGAAAAATGTTTAGTTTAGTGTAAAACAGTGAAATATTGGAGAAAATTACTTACAATTTCTGGGGTACTACTTATTGTTCAGCTGAGGATAGTTTATGTGTGTATGTGTGTGTGTTTGTGTATGTACAGGACGGGGAGTCATTGCAATATGTTTGGATGTGATGGAATCTCCCACTTGTTTTAGTCATCCTCTCTCCATCTCTTTCCGTCTCTCTTTCCCTCTTTTACTCTGGCTGCTAATCAGCATTTGAAAGGCAGCTTTGACAGTGAGAAAGAAAGTGAGGGGGGCACATGGAGGTGGGGATAAACGAAAGCATGAGACACAGCGAGTTAGGGGGGGAGAGCCAGCCAGAGAGAGACTGAGGCGAGGGGCTGTACAAGCATGCCTTTTATATTTACTAGTGACTGAGAGAGAGAGAGAGAGAGGGAGGGAGGGAGAGAAAGGGAGCAGCTGAAGGCAGAGACAACTGGTGTGCACGGCTTTCCCAAGAGGAAATGAAAAGAAAGAAGCTCAGCAAGGAGAATGAATGAGTGAGCGGGAGAGAGGAAGGGTGGGAGGGAGCATGCTGGCTGGAGAGAGAGTGAGTGAGAGAGAGAGAAAGAGATTCTCACACTGGCTGTGTCCTAATCCGAGTCCATCTCAAAGAAGCAGCGGAGCAGAGTGTTAGTGAAGTGAGTCTGAGAGCCGAGGAGAGCTACATCAGCTAGCTCACTCCACTTCGCACAAACACACACAGACACACGTTCTCCCTCTCCTTCTCGCGCTCTCGCTCTCTCCCTCTTTCACAAACACACACACACACTCTCCGTGCAACGGGAGTCCACGATGTGTCCGGCTGCACGGCCACGGCTTTTGTGAAAGTGAGGGGATTGCCGCTGCCCCTGTCCCAGCCCCCTTGGCTCACACACTCAGTGTTTGCCTGCCGTGTTTAAGCTCGAGGTGCTGGTGGAGGTGTGGAGGGAGGGGGCACTGCCAGGGCAAAGCAGGGGCACCAAAAGGGAGGAGGAGGAGAAGAAGAAGACGAAGAAGAGAAGGAGGAAGAAGAAGGAGACAAAGTGGATCAGGTCGACAGCGGTGGATTGAATGTTGGAAATGCCCGTCAGGTGAGTAGATAATGGACCTAACAACTTACAGTCAGAATGAATACACATGCATGACCACACACACACACACACACACACACACTGATCACATTGTAAAGTTCTGTGACTAGAAGGAATAACTGTGTCTCCTTTTATTTAATAATTTGGTTTAAAATGACTGAATTTTGATCTGTTTGTTTGGTGTTTGCTATGATTTTTAAATGATTTGTACAAGATTAAATTTTATCAAACTTTTATTGTATTTTGTTAAATCTACTTCAAAAGTACTTTTCCACCCCTTTAGATGAAAGATAAGCTTGGTAGCCATGGTGATAACATTTGTAGCCAGTCTCGTTTAGGATGGGCGATAAATGTTTTAGTTGATTTCATTTATATTGCTAAATTAGTCCATCATCAGTGTGGTTGTTATTACAAAGATAGAAAAAGGACACATTGGTAAAACTGACCGTATCCTTTCAACCTTTTTTACTGGAGTCTGTTTGTACTGTGTCAGCTTGTTTAAATCTATTTAGTTAGAGAAAAGAAAAACACAGAAATATGCTTTTTTTTTTAAAAGTCTAACTTTATAACATTTATTATGAATAATATTAATACACATCAAGCATACCGCTTCCCAACAAACTTCTTCATCAGTTCAGTTAAGCTGGCAGGCATTTTCACTCCAATCTTCATTTTTTCAGATAAGCCGAATAATTACGCATGTTTATGTTTTGTGCTGAGTGCACCTCTTTGCAGATTTCCTGTGCTTGAGTGTGTTTGCGCGCGTGTGTGTGTGCGTGCCATTTGAGATATGGAGGCACAGAGTGAACGGCTGCCTGCCCGTCTCCACCTGCAGAGGCAGAATTGGTCACAGTTTACTGGCTTGGTAACATTCGCTGCCTTCAGGGTGTTTGCAGCAGGTGGTCCAAATTGGCAGAATGACTGTGACAAACGCACGGTGTTCACTGCTGCTGTAAAGTAAATAACAAACTATCACAGAGTGTTTTCGTTTTGTTTTTTTTTTCTTTTTTCATAATTTTTTTTTCTGTTATTGTGCTCAGAGGCTTGTCACTGGAAGAAAAAGTCAGATTACCAGAATAGAAAAATGCGCATTTATGAGTATGTGCGTCGACGGGCAAGTGCAAAAATGGGATTTGTTTGATTTCCTGCCAGATTCAGTTTGTAAGTCTGCACTCCTCCATATGCGGATATTTGCCTTGAGTGCTTATTTTGTATACTCTCCTTCAGCATCACTCTGAAATCAGTGGCATGTGTTTGTTATAAATTCTGCTCCGTCTCGTACGCCACCTAAAGCATCATTTGCAGCCACACCTGCTGAGATTGCAGGTGCTGCAGATAAAATCCAACCAAATAAGTACGTTCAGTGCAGACTTCCTCACTCGGGTGTCAAAATGTTACCAGCAGTTAGAAAAAAAAAAAGTTACCGTCCACACTGGTGTAATTTTTCAGTTTTTCCCCCCACTTTTAAAAAATCGGTATTAGATGAGTAAAGACTGGATCAGAACACTGACATGAAGCAGGGTCAGGCCGAGTCATTGCATGAGCACGGTACAGTTTATACCCCGACCCACTGAGCCACCAAGCTTCCCCATCCGTTTCACTTCTTGCGTGTGCGGGACGCTTTGGTCCTGACCTACCTTCGGGCCTTTTTTATTAGTCCCAGATGCAGGTTTCTTCTTCGGCTTTTGCATTCAGGGAGCTGCAGTTTATGCCAAAGGGCAACTGTGTGACAGAAGCTGACTCGGATTACTGTGTGAAAGTGGAAATGTTGGTAAGAGCCCTGTTTGAAGACTGCAGAAAAAAGAAACAGGGAAATGTGATAAAGGCTGCTCTGAGATCACCTCTTTTTCAGCTCATCAAAGATCAGGGCTGGCGTGCATTTCTGATGTTTTTCTTTGTTCGCTTTGCATAAACGATGATCACACGAGTGGATAAAATTGCTCATTTCAGAAGCGCAACAGCAGGTAGGCATTTTAGGAATTTATCTTGGTTAGTAGACAGAGGCAGGCAGCCACTTTTTTTGACTCATTGACAAGTTCTCAGGTAGACAGACACCTCGCCTCGCCTCTCCCTTCCTCTTTCTATTCCTCTCTTGATATTTTTGTCTCTCTCTGTTGCTCTCTTCCACACACAGACACACACCAACGTGGTCAGTGTGTGGCGTGTTGACAGACAGCCGCTCACACACTTCCAGCTCCCGTCGTGCGTGCGTGCCAGTGTATGTGTGAAGAGCGTTGACAGACAGTGTGTGGGTCTGTGACAGAGGGTGTCAGCGCAGTGTCAGAGAGATGTGTTTAGTGTCACACTCTGCTGACCTGATCTCCGGTCGGACTGTCCACTCCGGCCCCGCTGTGGCTCCTTACATAACCCCTGCTGTCATTCACACACCAGCCTGAAGGGATCCACCACTCTTTTGTGCGCAAACACTCGCAGACACAGTTATTTAGTGATATGCACACAATGTATGGATGTCCACGTTTGCAGACACTTTCCCTCTAGATGGAATACCAGATCAGGTGTGGGCTTCAGAGCGTAAATCCTCACTCTTTCGTGTCTTTTTCTTTACAATCTCTACTTTATAGTTTAAGTAGAACTTACGCAAAATATATCTGGAAATGTACAAAAAAAAAACGCATCTGTGTGGAAATATAGCATGAGCCCGGCGGGTATCCTGGTTCCCCCAAGTGTACTGCCAGACACCTACACATCTTGTTCAACGGTGCTCTGAACTCTGACATTTGCACCATGCTAATTGATGTGTCTATATTAGCATGTGGACTTCTCTGTGCTGGTGTGCAGAGCTAGAGTGTGCTTTCAAGTCCTGGTTTGAGCACACACATTGCTGTTTGTGTGTGTGTGTTGGAGAGATTGAGTGACCCTGTGTGCTGTTCTCTGGCCTGTGGTTATTTGGAGGTCAGTGCTGATGTGGTCTCTGCCTGCGGGAGTGGATTTACCATCTTCAGCCGTATAGAGAGCTGCATCCACTTGGCTGACTCTTCCACAGCGAGAGGGAGAAGTTTCTGCCTTCTCTCTCCCTTTTGGTGTTCGCTCACTATTATCTTAGATTTTGGGAGCGCTTGAAAAAAATAGGAAACGCTGCAATATGTGGGAATGTTATCAGTATTCCCCTTACATGTGAGCACACTGACATTCTTTTTAGAAAAAGTATTTGAAGTCTCACTTTTCACCTCAAGCCTTCCCTAGCATTAATGTTGGAGCATTTAACCCCAGAATAGACTGCATTTATTATTTAACCTTGTGCTCGGGGGTTTCTGTTTGAAGCATATAAATCATAAAGGTCAAAGATGGTTAACTTAATGATGGACGGAACATTTTAACTAACTTACTTAATGCAATTTTTTTACTGCATTTTCCCCTCAGCCATATCCATGTTTTAATGTTTTGTACTCCTGTTAATACTTTGTAGTTGCTCTGGTGCACTATTTAAATATCTAGTGTATTAAATTGGAACTGAAATATTATTCCTGCCATATGCAGACTACTTTTACCAACAGGGAAGCCTAACCCTAGAACTTGTTTTTCTCCTACTGTAGGACTAAAGTATTTGAAACATAACATACTTTCATGCACTATTTGGATTATCTTGTATATGTGGTTGCTTCTATAGCAATATGACTGTAGACCTTCGGACTCAGCAGACGGCGGGTCTTTTTCATTAATTGAATTACTAAGAAAGGGATTGCATTCAGTTCGTATGATGAAAAAAATAAATAAATCTGCAGAGCAATCTGCAGGGGATACATCATTTTTGCTGTAAATATGGTTTTCTGTGTAATAGTAGCTTCAGCTTCATATTTGATACAGTGCAGGTGCAGTCAAGCACTCCTTTTGTGTACACTTGGGGCCAAGTCAGACGGTAATTATGACAGGCATGGATTGGATTCTGTGTATCTCCACACCGGTTAGGAGTGGACATCAAAGAGCGCTCACCAAAGCCTTCTGCAATAAAAGAGGAGAAAGACAAAGATATTGATTAGGGTGAACATTAGTAAATCTCTTTCTCTCTCCTTTTTTTTCCATCTTTTTCTTTATTTGTCTATCATTTCACTACTACTCTCCCTCTCTCTCTGACTGTCTGATTTGCCTCTATCTGCCTCTACGTATGCTCTCTCCATCCCCCCATGCCTTCCCCATCCACCCCCTCTCCCTCTCCAATCATTTATTTATTGCTGATCTCTTTATTCTGTATTCGTTCAGTTTAGGGACAGTCCACGCTGTGTACGATGGTGTTTCACTCTCACGAACACACGGTGCCGTTATTATCATTCCTTTACACCCGTTCCAAACACTTTTTCTTCCTCCTCATCAACGCAGAGATACCTGGGGGCGGGCGGGGTCACACTGGTCCAATCTAAGGCCATATTGATTCCATTAGATAATTAATGATCCAGCCAAGGGCCAGGGAGGAGCAAAGGAGAGGTTATAGGAGAGGGATGTGTGGTGAGGATGATGGGAGAGGCAAAATTGGTGGATGGGTGTGTGTGTGTGAGGGAGGGGTAGCTGCAGACGCCAAGGCCCTTGAGAGTTGGAGAGAACCTTGCGTTGGGAATCATCCAGAGTCGTCAAGGTCAATCGGAGCCGGAGCTCCGATACGGAAGCAGAATGCCGAGCGAGTTTGGAATATGGAATGCTGAGCGAGAGAGGAGGGAGAGAGATCTTCATGTCCAGAAGCCGCCGATTGATCAGCAGCTGAAAAATTGTACATTAAAAAGTCTTTTGACTTCCAAATCCTGAGGTCCAACCAGGGCCGTAATGCATGATAAGTAGTTTTCAGCCCTCCAACCAGAATACCAAACTTCATCTCCCCAGACACTCCAGACACTCATTTACAACTACTCAACAACATGAAAGGCAAGATAGAAAACTAGCTGCATCAAATATTCTGTTCATGTTATTTCCAACCGTGTTTTCTACATCTTCCATGATATTGAACGTTCTCGATTTGATCAAATTTTATTCACAGGAATGCTTCATCACTGTTGTACTGTGTATATACTTTACTTTTACCTTTAGACTTGGATGAATGAAGAACAGAGGAGAGCTGTCAAGAAAGCATTATCAGTTAAATTTTGATTGCACTGAAAACTGAACTGCATATGTCTTAAATGGGCCTTGAATGTTAAAACCTTTTTTTTTGTATTTAAGTGGGGGAAGCTTTTATTCAGCTGTGGGCATGAAAACGGAGGAGATCGAGAGGTTGAAAGACAACACCAGGCTTTTTACAGCTTTACAAAAATAACTTGTGAGCACATGGCAGATGAGAGCTGTCATCTTTCAGAATTTTCCATCATTTGTAAATTACAGGAATAGTTGCAAGTTCAACAAAGCTTTTGTAGGTTTACTTGATGTAAATGTGTAAAACTTTCTGCTTGGATTTAGCAGATTTTGTGAATCAGGCTCAGCCCTGATTAGCCTGACCTTCGCAATAGGCCATCGATCAGTATTTGCTCTAAAATGTACTAAAAATAATACAGTTTTTTCACTTATTTTAGGCGAAAGAAAAAAATCTAAAAGTGCAAAAAGTAACATTAAGAGCCTCTGCGTGATGCACTAGGACAGCGGCATCATACACATAATCTGTAAGACTTTCATTGAGGAGAATGAGGTTCTACTCCCATTAAGGAGTCCTTGTTTTATACTTAACTAGTTTTTTTTTTTCCTGTAAGTTTTCTTCCAGCTACTGGTTGGTAACAAAAGCCATGGCTAAGACAACAAGACTCCTTGGTTAGATCTAGTTTTGGTTCTACCAGATATTTTTACATCATTTAGCGCATGAAAAAGCGCCTTCTCTATTTTCAGAGTTCCAGGGTGACGAGTCACATCTTTAGATGAGTTGATTACAGTTGTAAAACATGACAAACAAACAGAGTGAGGCAGAATTTTATTTGCCTTGACATGTAACTGAGAATGCAGTAGCTGTATGAGAACATCGTTTTTAATAGACTCACGCACAGCGATACAGAAAGCAGCAGAGAGAGCAGGAAAGCAGCAGTAAAGACTCTCACTCTGAGCCGAAATAAAATAATTGCACTTAAGTAAGGTAATTAACACAAATAAAATAGTTTTTCGGTGCACCGCCTGAACACTCTGGGTTACACTCCCACTTTCCCACTGACTCTTGTCTCCTTATAAACACAGGGAGGTCCAAAGGTTTCAAAGGGAGGGTCTCACACACACTAACGTCCTCGCAGCCCAGCTAGGGAGGGAGCCCAGAGTGTGACTTTGATTGTTTGCGAAGGTCACCATTATTCTGCTGTACAGAGCAAACAATTCTTCTAAAATAATTCTTTGCTGTGTTGTTAATGTATACAACCCTTAAAGCAACATTTTACATATGTCTTTGATATTTTTTAATCCCCAAAATTTGTGAAAAATCCTCTGAAACTGTTGTTTTTATTGTAAACTATAAATCGCACAGGCTCGGTCCTGCTCTTCCCCTTTTTACATGAGTGCAGTGTGCATGTAGTCTCTAGTGGGCAATGAGAACTCCTCTGCCTCCACATTGGCAGTCTTGGCCAGCCTCTGTATTGGGCCCCAGGGGTTGGGGAGATGAGGCATAAAACAACCATGTCTCTACCTAGGGGAGCTGGTGGCATGGCAGTGGAGCTATTGTCTGTCGGCGTGCTGTTTGACTTAAATGTGTTCATTTGCCTGATGCCCCTGACTCCCCGTGGGGAGGGGCGGCCCGGGGAAAGGAGGGGCACGCTAACGAACCTCTGACAGCTGGAGGCCCTAATTAAACGTCCCTGCTGAAAATAAACAGAGCAGGAGCCAAGCAAGCAGCCAGAGAGAAGCGCACTGCAAACAGCGGCTGTGAGCGCTCGCCGCAGTGCCCTCCTCTTCTGTTGCTGCTGAGGCTGAGCCAAGAGTGCACGGCTCTATAGGGTAGGGGTCTCAAACGCACACACTCAGGCTGGCACACATGCACCACACTTATGAATATGGAGCACTGCAGCAACATTGTGAACACCTGCGGTCACACTTGATACAAGTTGATCTCTACAGCTGTGGGCACAGTATTTTATTTTTTTATTTTTTTTATTTTTGTTACTTCCAGTGCTCTCAGAAGTTACACTTTTCTTTTTCATAAATTTCCCACTGTGCCATGACAGAATAAGTTGACTCGCTTCTCTCGAGTGGGGTTGTTTCACACTCTCCGCCTAGATGACACATCTGACATTCAGAAGCCTGTTGTGCTGCTAGCTAGCTGGAGCATTAGCAGTCAAAGTGGCGGGGTCTATTTGGGTGAGTGCATTAATGGGCCGACCAACCAGCGACAAGGTTATGAGGCTGATTGAATAAATACTGTGGAGGTCCCTGTCCATTACGCCCCTGTGTGTCTGCCCAGATAGAGATGGAGAGATAGTTTGAGACAGAAAGATGAAAGGAGAGATTAGATAAGCACAGATAGGGTCAATTAAGAGATAAACATACAGGTATAGGTTGAAGAGAGGCTTCCGCCTGTGTGCGTGGTGAAAAATTGAGAGTAAATTGCTTCCTGTCTGTGTCTCCTTTTGATCTCTTTGTCCTACTGTACACAGCCCAATTTGGCATGTAGTGCATTTATCCTGGCGAGGTGGAGAAGGTGACAAAGGTGAAGTTGTTAGACAGAGGTGCAATGCCCTCTGCTCGACCCTGTCTTCTCTCCAGCAGACTCTTGGAAAAGACTGTCAATGTTGCAGGCTGGTAACTTTAGTATCTATCTATCTATCTATCTATCTATCTATCTATCTATCTATCTATCTATCTATCTATCTATCTATCTATCTATCTATCTATATATACACACATACACACACACATACTGTAGGTTACCTATGTTGGAGTAAAGCCCGAGGCTTAAAACTTAAGGCTAGGAATATTCTGCCAATTCGAATACCCAGGGAAGATGATGAATCTGGAAAATTAACCAAACTCATTAAATTTGCAGCTTTATTGCTTTCCTGCTGATTTAAATTTACTTAACAGGCAATCAATTTGTAGGCAAATTGTCTGGATTTCACATAAAAGAACTCTGAAGAGCTAGAGCATTTAACATTAGGAGTGCACTAATGTATGAACAGCACCAGTTTATTCTTCCATGTCTTTAATAAATACAGATAAGATTGCCCTTCTCTGCTTCATCTTGGACTGCAGTAACAATCTGCAGGTATAAAAGTTCATAAATTATAGCCACAGTCAGGTGGTCAGTCCCCAGTTTGATCCAGCTTGAAATATTTCAGCTGCAGTTACATGGATTTTGATGTAAAGCATTCATAGTGGAGGATAAAGCGTGCTGATTCTAGCGATCTCCTTACTTTTCCTTTACTGTTACTGCATGCTTTTTGTACATGCATTGCATAATTGTGAACAAAATATTCCCTGCTAGAACTACCTCTTCAGTTCCTTTGGATTACTGACCTCAGAGCATGTTCGAAATAGAAGTTTTACATTTCTGCTTCACTGTTGCGGCCTAAATACAGAGTAAAACTATTAAAGTTGATGACCCACTCTTCCCTTTCAACAACTATTCCGCCTTTGTTGAACTGATTATTGACTCCTCTGCCTTTGAACTCTGTCCAAATGCATTAAATGTTGGCTCTTTTTGCCCAGATTTGCAAAATGATATCTGCCAAACCTGCCGAGCTTCTGCTGACCCCTCTTAGCCAAGGTCAGCATAGCCATGCTCAAACTCGAGACATAATCCATTTTCTTTTGCCCTGGCACAGCTCTACTGACATGATTGTGCTGACCCAGCCAGGCCAAAGAAAGAGGAAGTGAGAGAGTGAGAGGCAGAACGAAAGAGAGAGAGGGCATCTCAGGCCCAAGGGCATGACACTGGGGTGCTCGGGGCCACACCAGCCCTTTAAATGTCAACACAGCACAGAGGGGAGGGAAACTGGTGAGGAGCGGCGCTCTGTTTGAGGACAGGAAAGAATATTGGCAAGTGATTTTTTACTGCAGGAGGGTGTTAGAAGCTGGCACAACGCAGCAAAAGATCTGGGACGGGCGGGGTGTTTTGTCTTCAGACATATTCGGTTTAAACGCGAGTCACACACAGGTTTGAATATTCTCTCTGGGATGAAGGGAGACATTTTGAGATCTGTGATTTTCAGAGTAAGTGTGACTTCAAAGGAGGGTTAGTGTTTTGTCTTATGTCTGTTATCTTGGGAGCAGCCACTGACCTTTATGTAGGGAAGTACACACGGTACCTAATTACTCTGCCTCAATCTCTTTCTTCCCTTCTTTTAAATTAATCACTCTTGCCTTCAGTAAGATATCACAAGATGGGATCAATTTTCACCCAAGCTTTTGGATGCAAATTATAGTCAAAAGTCAAATTAAAAGTGTTGAATGGAAACTGTAAAAAGAGATAAAGTGTCATTGTTTTCTTAAAATTAAAAGCAGGTTTAAGAGTTTTTCTAGTGTTTCTTTAAAAAAAGGGGGATTAAACCATCAATTTTGATGGAAACAACCCAAAAATGCCATGCGTCTTCCTGCCTGTAGTTCCTGATTTATATTGCGGCTTTCATTGGCAGTTCTTGATAGTATCGTTCTTGGCTCTTTTTTCTCACCCCCATTTGTGTCTTTGTCACTTCTCTCCTTTCTTTTTGTGAATCTCCAGGTCTGAGTCCATCACGTCCTCAGCCAATCGAAGCCTTCGTTAACAGCGGCGTGGGCACGTGATTGGAGGAAGGATGGCAACCATGCCATTTGTTAGTGAGGGGAAATGTGTGAGTGTGGAGTGGGATTTCCTGCAAGGACTACTGGCCAAGCCTCCCACCCTGCCCTGGTGAGACATCTCTCACACACACACAAACACATGCACACACACAGGCTGAAACTGTATAAGCCTACGTGCATGCCCATGAATTAATCTCTGCAAGATGGAATACATGCATTAACACCCTTGCACTCACTGACAGTCTGAAGAAGCTTTTCTTTTCTTTTTTTTTATCAACGAAACATTATCCAGAAACATACGCTTTTCTCCTTAGTGCTACATATCACCTGTATTGTTGTTCACCTGCCAATCCTGTCAGAGTTGCGAGTCCCCCACCCTTAGTGGGAGATTAAGTAAATTTGGCTGGAATTATTAATGGGAAGTAATTTACAGGCGGATATAAAAACTAAGCAGAATCAATGTGTGTGTATTGATTGTTCTCAGTGGCCGGGGTCGAGGCAGTATAATAATGAGATGTTACACAGGCTGGCAGCATGAGTCCACACATACACACACACACACACACACTGATTTCACTTATTAGAACCTAACAGGGAGAAATGCAACAGCTGTGTCAGCTGATTAAGATACAAACATATGTAAGCACAATATGCGCACGTCTTTCCTTTGTTCTTTTCTTCTGTCGCACGTGTATGCGCGCACACTCACTCACTCACACACCACCCGGTGGTCTGTCTACGGATGAAAATCAACAACACAGACACGAGGGAGAATGGCTGGTTCTCCTCTCTCTCTCTCTGTGTCTCTAACACACACATACACACACTTTATCCCAGCGCAGCACCGACACAAATTGTGAAGTGGCTGTGACAACATAATTCCACCACTCAGGCCCCATTGAGGAGAGTCAATACCCAATCACAGAGACAGGCTACCTGAGCCCCGGCCCCCCTCTGTCACTCTGCCCCTCCCTCGCCTATTGATCCCTCAATCATGGCTTCAGCTCACTAGCCCGGGACCAGATGAGAGGGGGAGCTGGGGCGGGGGAGGAGAGGGTGAGAGGAGAGGGTGAGAGCGAGGGAGAGTAAGAAAAAATAGGCAGTGAGAAATTGTGTGTATGTGTTCACATATGGATTTTGGAGCAAATGGCATTATTAGGACTCTGCCCGATAAAAGAAGCGAGTTTGTCTGTAATTACCAGGCCAATCTGCGAGAGATGGGTCAGAATGGAGATTGTTTCACTTGAATTGCAGGAGCCATTCCCATTATGTGTATTTATGAAATGAGTTTTTCAGACTGATGCTGAGGTCATTTTTACAGAGCACGAATCAATCAACAGGTGGTCAGCAAATGGCCATTAAGCGATAGCCCATCAGTTTTTCTTGTCTTACGTCGCGCTGATTCAGATTTGTGAGCCCCTCTGATCCTTTCTCCCTGTGTTTATCTGTTCCTTCATTTTACTTCTGTCTTTCACCCTCTGCACCACTTTCGCCCCTGTCCCGTTCGTCCTCATACCGACTTCTTGTCCACATCTCAGTCTCCAGAACCTGCGTAAAGAGAAATCTCGCAATGCGGCTCGTTCTCGGCGGGGGAAGGAGAACTTCGAGTTCTTTGAGCTGGCCAAGATGCTGCCACTGCCCGGGGCCATCACAAGTCAACTGGACAAAGCTTCGGTCATCCGGTTGACCATCAGCTACCTGCACATGCGGACCTTTGCCAGTCAGGGGGACCCACCCTGGAGCCCTCTGCTGGAGGGAGACAGCAACTGCAGCAAAGGTGAGCAAGAAACAAGCAATCACATGAAAAGAAAAGTTTTTGTGACTGAGATATTACAAAGAAGATGACGAAGAAAGTTTAGGTTTTATGTTTTCAACTAAAAGAAATATGTACAATGATCTAAACCTTCTAAATGTGGGTTTTACATTGAAAATGAAGCAAATTCTGGTGCACCATTTTTAAAAATGTAACTTAAAAACAACTTTTTATGTTTATTTGACTTTAACATCAAATGTAGCAGTAGTGTGTTTGCATTAAGATATCGTATTTGTCCCAGACTGAATGAGTTTTAGAGCTGTAGACTCAGTACTTTTCCTTTTTCTCTTCTTACCAAAGTTAACATTTTCTCAGAGCCTGGGATGGGATTGGAAAAGTATTATGCTTTCCAGCTGAGTAACAAAATGCCCTAGTAGTGACATACTAGTGAATAATTGCCTAAAATATGATAATCTAGATAACACATTTTTAAGGCCTTTTTGAGGGTCTTGTCCTTGAATTAAAATTGTATTTTAAAAAAACATCCTGGTAACAGAAAATATCTCTATGACTGGTTAAGTGTTGACACTTTTTCTGGGTATGTCACGAGTAGGTTGTTGTTATCTGTTCACAAAATTCAACCTTGACAAAAGCAATGTGCAAATATGCAGGATTAAATTAAACACGCATATGTGGAACACTTTCAGCCAATGATTCCTACATTTCAGCCAATATGAAAATTATATAGCAGAGATAAATATGCTGCTTTGTTCCCAAAGGACGCAAACCACTAAAATTCATATTTCGACTCACTTCTCTGTTTCAATCAGAAGCAGACCTCAGCTGTCTGTTCTGCCTACGTACTCCTACCCACAGTGACACCCCACGCCACAAAAATTCAGTTCGGACTGGGGTATTGATCCAGCCTCCTATTAACAATAGTAATTACTGCCACTGTCTATGCGTGCAAACAAGCTCATGCGTTTTCTTTTTTCCCCTGTAACACACATGCAAATAATCATACAAGTATTTTACATAGACAAGAGTGAGTATGAATAAAATCTATGTTTTTGTGTGTGTATCCACATAAATATTACTCATATTATAGACAAAACTCCAAAAACATGTTTTCCTTATGTGGAAAAAAAGTAAAGTCCCTATAATAGTCATTTTAAAGTGAAGACCCATTTAAGGGGGAGGTCAGGTTCAGGTTTCAGGTTGTGATTAGATGAGTAGTAGCAGTAGTGGTTAAGCTCAGATCAAGACTCCAGGTAATTATTGTAAGTCAAAATGATGTCCTCTTAAGTTAGGGACACGCAACTGTGTGTTTGCGTGTGTCTGTGAGTGTGTGTCTATTAGGAGGGAGAAAGAGAAGGAGAGGGGGTAGATAATAAAAAAGAGGGAGGAAACTATTGGTGCAATTTGTAATTACTGAAATTAACTATATAACGAGGACAGTGTAATTATATAGCCTGTCTAATTGCTACTATTACTGAGGGGAAATGATGCAGCTACAGTGCAAATAGACGTGTGTGTGTGTGTGTCCGCCTTTGTGCCTGTTCCTGGTAAATTTGGGGAAATGTGAACAAAAAAAACCTGTCGTATTAACAGCATGTTTCTGTGAGACTGCATGTGGTGTGCTTTACCCACATTATGCACTGCATTTCCTGATGGGGTGAGTACCAGTAATGCTACCAGTGCGGTCTGAGTGTGACGTTATAGTAAAAAATACCAAACTTTTCCCAGTATCCTTTGGGGGCATCATAGAAATTTTTACACATTAAGATCAGTGTGGTTTTCCGTGGTTCCATGGTGTAGTTTGTTAACACCTTCGCCTTACTTGTGAAAGACACAACCGCAGCCTCAGGGTGTTAAGAGCTAGCCTGCTGCTAACGTCGGTCATAAGTCTCGATAAATGGGATGGTTATATCAGGAAAGGCATCTGGTGTCAAAATCTGTGCCAGATCAAACATGTGGATCCATCTACTGTGACCCCGTGGGAAAAGAGGGAGAAGCTGAAAGTATCTTTAAGGTCAATGCGGTCTTCATCTGGAACATCGCTCACCACATGAAAACACTCATGTAATGTCTTCTTTTTTGCTCGGAGACTTAAGGTGTAGCGTTAAAGATGGATTCCATTATGAAAGAATTAAGATATAAGCATCAATGGGAAGTTTTATATAAACAAATCACCCACAGGCTAATATTGTAGGTCCCACAGGAAGATGGAAACAGGACCTGTACATGACCTGAGACCTCAGATGTTGTCAGTGGATCCCTTTGGGTCTGTGGGTTGAGGATTGTGCTTGTATCTGTTGGTGTGCTAAAAGGTTGGGAACTGGGCAGCTTGGAAGATGAGTCATTCCCTCGGTTTCAAACCCTTCTTGATCAGCTTGACTTCCAACAATGTTTAGGTGTTGGTAGGTGTAAAACATCCACATGAATGCCAAAATCCAAGGCCTCACTGCGAGCGATATCGAGTGTAGAGGTGTCGAGCCAAATATGGGAGCTTGGAAGCAAAACGACTTAACAAAATCAAGCTTTTAATGCTGTATCAAGTTCAGAAATAAATTCCTCGGGCGCCAGCAGCCTTCTACACACGGCAAGGGGAAAACCACTTGGCTGCACATGAGGAACCCACTCTGGGAACAAAACAAACAAGGGCAAGCAGGATTGTTTATACACAGAATGCTGACAGGGAAATGACAGAGTGGAAGGTAATGAGGCACAGGTGAAAGTAATCACACACAGGTGAAGACAGGAAACAAAACGAACACAGGATGCAAACCTGCCTTTCAAAGTAAAACAGAAAATAACCAAAAGAGACTGATAGAGATATGAATACTAACACTTAAGAAGATGTACAAGACAAGAAAACGCAAAGTGACCAGAGCGTGAAGATAGAAACGAGACAGAAGAAGGCACAAATGGAAACATGGGGGTGATGATTACTACAACAGCTACTACAAGTAACACACAAAACGTGGATAGAACACAGGATATTTCAACACTGAATTCTTACCAGAAGCCAAACATAAAAACCACCAGAGACACAATAACATCACAAACTGTAGGCCATCATATAATCGTCAGTGAAGCTAAACTGAGGCTTACAGTATACGGAGACTAACAAAGAAATCAAAACAGCTTAAAAAGGTGTTAAGCACTGCAAAAATGTTATGTAACTCATGTTATGTTATGTTATGAAACTCAAAAGTAAAACAACGATATACCAGATTTAAAGTCAACATGCAAATAAAATAAGTTACTGATGTATACATGGCCATAAAGGAAAATGAGTATTCACGAGATAGCTGAATTAGAAAAAAAATTAACTTCTAATATGGTCTAAGTACATTTTTGTCATAGTTGTAGCTTTCAAATTGCCAGTGCTTGTGTGATACAAACCCTACAATAATCCAGAGGAAACCCCAACAATCAGACGACCCTCTAAATGTAAGCACTTGGCGACAGTGGGAAGGAAGAACTCCCTTTTAACATGAAGAAACCTCCAGTAGAACCAGGCTGTACATACAGACAAGTTGCACATGGTGACTTCTGGGCCCTAAGGGGCAATGTAGGACGGCTTTAAAGATTAGATATGGTATATATCTGACCACTTAATAGCATGGATGACCTCAAAGCCAACATATTGCTTTTAAAGAACTTTGAACTGCATCCTGTTACAACTTGAGTCTAATCTACAGTCATAGTGTGTGAAAACATGTATTCCTATGCATCAGCCCATTGTTGTACATCAATATCTCATCATCCTTTCTGCGCAGGACAATCTGATTGTCTGAGTGATATTCATATACTAGCACCCATACACACAGCCGCAGCCTTGACTCTACGGATGAATTGCGAATTGTTTTTCCTCTGTATTCCTGACTTTTCTTGGCCTTGATAGAAAATACCTCCTGTTCAGCATAGTTGGTGCGCAGGTAGTAGTGCTTCTTGCCCTGTGTACAAAGTGGAAGTGCGCTGAAAAGATGTGAGGTGTGCGGTTTACCCTACAACGAGAGGCACTTCTCGTACAAATGTGAGCCACAACGATAAATATATAGAGCCCCCGCGGAAGCTGCTATGTGAAGGTCGAGAAAATTGTGAATTATCTTTCACATTCTTACCACTGGGTCAACATCTGATATGTTAAGTATTTAATTAAATATTTGGAGATTTCTTACAAGCAGGTCACACAGTCTCCACAGGGCCTATATTGAAAATGCAATGCTAATTTGGACATCAGTTTGAACAAGTCTACCCACAATGCATTGGCAGGGTTTTAAGTGTGATGCATGACTTTAATTCCGTTAGTGGAATGTGGTCAGAGATCTGGCTGAAAGGGAGCGGAGGCCAGAGAGCAGGGGAAGGAACAAATGTAGGAGGAATAAAGACAGAAAGAGAGGAGGAAGGAAGAAGGAGAAGAGTGTGAGGAAATTGGGATGGGGTGTGTTGGGGGGTGGGGGTTGCATTCCTCCACATTCCCTCTTGTCCGGGGTTTTTGGATGGGCAGCGGAGAGGGAAGGAAGGTGGAGGGTGGAGGAGAGGAGAGGGATGGAGCGCAGGGGAGGGGCCGGAGTGGCTTTTGTCTGCTTCCCACGTTTCAAAGCCAGTCTTGAAAAATGAATAGACAGAGGAAAATCAATTGCATGACCTTCACAGAGAGAAAGAGAGAGATTGAGAGAGCAGGAGAGAGCGGGAGAGAAGGAGGAGAGAGAGAAAGAGACAGAGTATGGAAGGAAAGGAGCAAAGGAAAAGGAAAGGCTGAAGGCAGGGAAGGTAAAATGACCCATGCTGTATTTGGTATTTGTGCACCTGTTTGCACAGCATATTCAAGGACTATTTGACATCATTTATATTTCAAAGCCTCTGTATTAAGTAAATTTTGCTATCAGTGACAGTTTTTTCCCCCATACTACACTTCCTTTGAAAAAAATCCAGGAAGCCTGATTCCTATTCCTAAGCTTTCTATTGCTTGTGATAAGAATCTACTTAAACTTAGTGGCAGATCTGCAATCAAGAAAACTGACAGTTTAACAAGATTCTACAGGTGAAACCAAAGCAGTCTTCCTGTTGGACAGGCAAGGTTAAACAGGTTAGTCCAGGCGGTGTAGTGTGATGGTGTGCTGTTTGTTTAAAGTAATTCAAGGCTTTTTGGAGGTTTATATACATTTTTTAAACCTCTGACACACTCTGTATTATGCTGCTCTGCACTGGCAAGAATAAACCACACCCAACCATGCAGACAGTATTAATGTTTTTATAAAATAACAAATAAGAACATAATGTAAAAAAAAACATTTTATTAGGTTCAGCAGAATATAAATTAGTCCAAAAGTATCTTTTGCACTTTGGTTCAGTTTTTACTTTTGCATGTTAGTTAAAGATAATGTACGGTTTGTTAACAGTAAGTGCAAACATAATAATAATAATAATAATAATAATAATGTAAAGAAAATAACTTGATTGTGGTAAGACAGAGATATCTTTTAAAATTTCCTATCTGAAATTAACTTTCTACTTTTATTTTTGTTTAATAAAACAGAAAAGGGGAGAAAATATCAACCTGTAACAGGTGTGCAGGGCAGCTGGAGAACGCCCTCTGCCTTTTTCACAAGGCACAGTGCAATGACAAGTCAGCGCCAGCAACAGGGCCAGCTGAAGTGTTTTACTGTCTCGGCTAGTGAGGTCAAACACACCTCTCCCCTCCCCGGCGCTGGTGACATTGACTTTCATTCTGCCTCCACTTGCTCGTTCTCTCTCTCTCTCCCTCTCACTCTCCCCCTCATTTCTTTCATTGCTTTCGTCTTCCCTCGCCTCCCCTTCTGTCTCCCCCACCTCTTCACGATCTCCCTGCGTCTGCCTCCCCTCTAATTCACAGCGTTTAAAGCAGCCTGGGCTTTTAAGGGAAGTTAATTGCACTCAAATTATGTTCGACCGCAAAAGGAGTGAGGGAGCGATGGAGAAGAGACGGAAAGATAGAGGACAGATAGAGGGAAGGAGGGAGGGATGGATGTCGGCGTGAGAAGATAATTGTGCCAGAGAAGGACGCTGCGATTAGGGTCACTTTTTCTCTCGCTGTCTGTCGAACGGCCGAAACATCACATTTGGATTGGTAGTAAACAACTTGGCAAGTGACCGGGCTCTTGTTTTGAAAGGGTGAAGCTGCGGTGGCAGAGCCAAACTTAAGAGACAGAGATGAATAAGAAGACACAGAGAGAGGAAACTGAGAGAGAGAAATGGGGGTTCACTGTTTGGTTCCCATGGTAACATCCTAACCTGGGTAAAAGAGGTTGACACTGTGGGGGTGGAGTCTGTGTGTCTACAGCCCCCCACGTGGGGATGCTTGGCTCTGTGTGTGTGTGTGGCCATTCCTCTGGACTGAACTGGGACTAAATTATGTATTAGACAAAAGTATCATGAAAATCATTCAAATTTTTTCATTCAATCATTCAAATCTTTTCTGCTTGTGAAGCGCTGGGGAGTCCGTGCAAGTTGACCTCTGAGTCAAATCATAATTAACGTGTCCATTCCTGCCCTGTCCCATTCTGTCTCTTATTCCCACAATGGAATTAAATCTCTTAGCAGAGTCCCGGGAAGCTAATGGAATCGGAGTGTGACAGAATAGCTCGATCAAAGACCTCAGCCATCCCTGCGTCCAGCTCTGCACACAAGTCACGGTGTTTATTGGCACAAACTCACTTAAAGGAGAATTGCAATTTAACGCATCTTAACTAAAGTCAGGTTTTATTGCTTTTGAACATTTTTTTATGGTTAAAAACTGAAGGATTTGATGAGATCAGGGATCAAAAAAAGAGTAATCAGGCAGTCACACATTTTTTAAACAAGTTAACAGTTCATGCAGGAAACCAAGACTGGGATGTCAAACTAATTTTAGTACATAAAGCTCAAACAGCCCGGACCAGTTAAATCAAACATGCACATATACTCATCATAATATATGTATGTAAAACTCCCTTACTTTAATTGTAGCATTACATGTGCAGTGTCTTTGTTAATAGGAATCATGTCAAACTGACAGTTACTTAGGCCTCTGCATTGGGTGAATGTAGCGTTTCAGGTCCCGGTTCAGTACACGATCTATTCTTAGCGACATGCAATGCTTCCTGGTGCAAAATTCATTGAAAAGGTCAAACATGATGCCCTCCTTTTCTGCAATTTTCACATTTAGCAAAAAAAAAAAAATTCCAGCGGGCTGTGCTTTGACTCTTTGAGGGCTGCATGTTTGACACCCATGATCGAGATCACTTTCTTGATTTAGGAGTTGAGTTGAAGCCCTCTTTCTTTCCAGCGCTTCAACTGGGCCAGGAGTCACAGATACAGGAATCTGGCAAATTAAACTTTTATTACACTGAGTGCCACCACTTTTTTTCTTGGCTGAAGGTGATCTTTTGGGGCAAAATTCTCTTGGTTATGTATTTATGCTTAAACAAGAGGGAATAACGTCCAGTTGTCTGTACAAAAGAGTTAAGATTCACAAAAATATTCCAAAATCTTGTTTGACCACAACAATATTCAACTACAAATGATGTTTTCAGGCACAATGATGAGATGTGTTGTCCAAAACTATCTAAATGAAACATTTAGCAGATCAGATCAGACTTTAATAACGTGGCCACATTGTTGGTTTGTTAATGTCTGTCCAATCATTTGTCATCTGTTTTGACTTGGTCTACCAATAAGACGCATGCACAGCAAGTTCAAAATAAGATCTAAGTTGTAAAAAAAGATGTTATTGTTTGAATTATGATTTATAATGACATAAAATATTATAGAAGCTGTAATATTAAGGTATACACACAGAATAATGCAAAGCCCTCACTCGCACACGGGCACACACATAGAGAAGGGGTTCACAGTAGCACTACAGAGGGATCTTTGTTCTCAGAGTGTGATACCATCAACGCTGTGAGACTCTTTCCCTTCACATGTGCGCAAGAATACACCACACACGCGCATGCTGTGCGCACAAACACACACACACACACACACACACACACACACACACACACACACACACACACACACACACACACATCAGGTCCAGTGTTTTGGTTTCCTGGTTGCCCTATTGTACTGTGGCAGTCTTTAATAAATGGTCCTCTGTGTATTTGTGTCTGCGTGTGTGTGCAGGGGTGTGACTCATCTGTCAGCCCCGCTGGCCTCATGTCACATTCAGCGTTTCCTTGGGCCCGCTGACACTACTCAGCACAACTGATCACCCACCATCACCGTCGCTCCTCCAGGGTTCTGTGGCACGAAAGCCAGAACAGACACACACACTTTCACAACAATTGAAGTGCATTTGTCTTCTGTTTTGATTAATTCTTATATGGTTACCACGGGGGTTGATTCCTCCAAGCTTCCTAGCACTGCGGCTGCATCGCTGCCCCACAAGGGAGCCTGCTAGGCAGGCAGAGAGCGAAATGGGCTCCCCATCCCCCTCCAGGCAGGGACTGACTAGGCTGAAGGGTCCCAGCACCAGACCCCCTTTCATAGCCCTGAATGGACTTGCCTTATTTAAATTCACACTCTGTCACACAGGGGGACCCCAATCTCACAATGCCACTGTGGCTTTGTCCGGCAACTCTGTATTTATGTGTATATGTGTGTGTGTGAGAGAGAGAGTTTGTGTGTGTGCACGGGTATTTGTGTTGTTTAATCGGAGAGCATGTTGCTGCTGTGTAGTCTGTGCATGAGAATTCATTGCTGTGTGTATTCCTAAAGTGTGTGTATGTGTGTGTCTATAGCTCTAATGGAATGCCTCCCTCTTCTATTCAACAAACCCACATCACAAGCAGGCAGCTGGGCAATATATATGTGCGTGTGATTGTATATGTGTGTGTGTGTGTTGGTGGGTGTGTGTGTTCCGATCCCCCCTCTGTGTTCAGTTGTAACCCACAGCAGCGCTTTCATTTTCCTGTCATAACGTGTATTGATTTCCCGCAGCCTTGCAGCGACACACACATACACACGCGCAGATATCCAATGATCCTTAAAGGCACGCACACAGACTCACACGCGTACATACATTTATATGCTCTTATACACACATATTTTGGGTACACACGGACATACGCAGTTTTTCTCCATTGGACGGGGAACATTGTGTTCAAAAGCAGCCCTGTTGGAGTGAGATTAGTTCTCACATATGGTCCCCACTTTTGCAATCACACACTTGCAGGTGCATAAACACCGTCACACACTCCTTCTGACATAAAACAGTAAATACACCTGATTGCAAAATTAATCTTCCACGTCAGTGGCGGCACCCCCAACCCCCATGCCCATGTTTGCTTTGGAGAAAGCGATCACTCTCTCCTTCCTTAAGGTTTTTCATTTTCCCTACCCTCTGTGCTCCTCTCATACCTATCTTCGCCCTCCTCCCCTCCTCCTCCACCTAACCACCTCCAACTCTATTTGTATTGTAATTGCCTTGGTAAACACCACCACTTTGGCACTGAAGCAGCTCTGATAGCTTGTGTTTGGGATGCATTAAGAGTGGTGATGCAGACACTGTGTGTGTGTGTGTGTGTGTGTGTGTGTGTGTGTGTGTGTGTGTGTGTGTGTGTTTGCTTGTTTGTTTGTATGCCTGGCAGAGATTGAGTGGTATGCGTCACGCAGCGCTCCGCCTTATGTGCACTTTTTTTTTTTAAGCACGGTAAATTCTTCTTTTATCAGACATAATTGCTTCAAGTTTCACTTTTGATTTTGCTGAAGATTTTAAAGTTGTGAAAGAGATCCCACGATCCCACTGTCTAGTACTAAACATGGAGACTTTTTTTTTTAGCATTTTGTCATACTACAGTAATAAAAACACGCACCTTACCTACAGAAACCCAAATTTCTGCACTGAAAAAGCCCTGCTCATGATCAATTAACAAAATCTACTCACCTGCTATAATATCAACAGGTATAAAATGCTGCCCGCCAGCATTTTATGACAATGTCTGTCTCCTTTTTCTCTGCAGTTAGACGTTCATCTCATTCTCTGGCAACTGACATGTTTGAGCAGCACCTAGGGGCACACCTCCTGCAGGTAACGACCGCATCACCCACACATTGCTTCTTGTACCGCACTGATTATGTCTATAGTTGACTTTTTTGCCATGCTTATGTTGTGTTGTTAAGCAGAGAAACTAGTTTTTTCAGATGTATCAAAAGTTGAAGTTAGAAATGTTTTTTCCCCTCCTAACAGTCACATTTGTTTGATTATCCAGCTGTGCTAAGTCGCTGCTATGTGTGATCACAGCCTGCACTGGCTCAAGTCGTTCTGCCTTGACTCATATTTCCAGGCAAATTCCTAAACACAGTCACACTCAGACACAGAAGCACATCGCGTAACCCTCAGATGCTGCCAAAGAATACCTCCCTTTTGCACTAACAGATGAACACAGCCCGAGGGGTACTCTGGGGCAGGAGGGCTGCTGGGGTGACGAAATGCAGAATGTAGGCAAAGACTCAGAGGAAGAGCAAAGGAGGTAGCACTGTACTTTGGAGGGAGCTTAGGGAGGGGGAGGCGGTAGGAAGAACAGGTAGGAGTGGGAACAGGTGGAGGGATAAAAGGAGAGTAGAGAAGTGAGAAGGTTGTGGTAAAACAAAGAAACATTACATATGTCTGCTCTCCTCTGGCATTTTAAAGAGGAAGAGAGGCTTAGAGAACGGCGCTGATAGAAATCAAATTAACGCTCCAGAAAAACTGTATGATTCTTCCCCTCCCAGCCGTTCTTCCACAGTAATAGCCTGATAATTGCACTTTAGTTCTCCGACATTCATGCGGCTGGTTTCTCCTCGCCGCGACACACGACGCTCCACACCCCGGCCACACATTTGCATACTGGATGTGTCAGTTGCATAAATTACCACTGCCACTTTAAGCACTAGGCCGCCAAAATAGCAATCATTTTTCTAGAGCAAAGTGGCCCTGGTGTGTGTGCATGTGTGTGTGAGGCTGAGACTGTGTCAGCTCACTCCTGGATGCTTGTTATGACGATTAATATTATTCTCTGAAGCAGTCCCCTCTAATGGGCTGGCTGTATACCTTTCACTTCTCATTAGAATCACTGCAGGCCGTAATGACTCTGGTTCTATCTGTGTCTGTGTTTATTTGTCCGTGTGTGTGCGTGTGTGGCTGGAGATCCAGGATGAAGCTTCGACTCTTGGTTTATTACGGCTGATTGGAACAGCCCCTGGTCTATAAGCTCAGTTTCTCATGTCTCGTTGCTGAATTTGTTTAAGTGCGCCTTTCTTGATGCACGTGCGTATGTGTGTGTTTGTGGACGTCCACACCGCATGCGTTGCGTCTGCCTCTGTTTTGTTCACCGTTTGTTCGGTCACGCAGGTCTCACTCGCAGCTGTCGCGCGTGTAGCTGCGTCTATGGGAATTGTTTCATGTCTATTCACATTTATGCACGTCATGTGAGTTTTTTGCGCGCGCGTGTGAGCGTGCTCACCAGTTGAGAGAAGAGGCCGAAGGGTGATGGGTTGTTTGTTCTCTAGCTCATTGTAATTTGTTCGATACACGCTAATTGCTCTAATTTGTCTGTCTTGTTTCTGTTTGCCTTTATGTCTGCGTCTCTGCGTGCATGTGTGTGTGTGTGTGTGTTTTTGTGTGCCCACGTGTGTGTCCCTGTGTGTTTATGTGCACAGTCTCTAGATGGCTTTGTGTTTGTGGTCAGCCAGGAGGGACGGTTCCTCTACATCTCAGAGACAGTTTCTATCTACCTGGGACTCTCACAGGTAAGACAACCTCATCTCACTCTCTTTATGTCTCTCTCACACAACACACACACACACACACACACACACACACACACACCCACACACACACGTGACCACATAATCCTTTATTTACAAGTGCATTTGCACACATGTGCCTGTCTTCTCTTTATGCTTTCATATCCCTTCCCAGGAGCGCGTGTGTTTGTGTGTCTGTGTGTGAGTGTGAATATCTTTGACTTCACTCTCTGTGCTCATCTCTGGAGTACAACTCTCACAGGGGCAATGCTGCTCTCTCTCTCTCTAGCTCTCTCTGCCGCCCTCTCTCCCTCTCCAGGTGCTCACCTCTGTTGATTGCCTGTGGCCTCTTGTACTGTGAATGTTAAGTCCTGCCATTTTGCCCAGATGCATAAATAATAACAGTAATTACTGGCCTAGCAATCAAAGTGTCGCCCCAGCGCGCTGGGCCTGTCTAGGGGAACAAATCGATAGGCATCTTAAAAGCCACATTGATTGTAGGGAGGGGGAAAAACACCAAGGGGGATGGGAAGATAGATAGAGACAGCCAGAGAGAGAAAGAGAGGGGGAGGAAAGGAGGAGAGGTGTGATAAGAGAGAGATGTTTCAAACTAAGAAGAATGGGTACAGCACGAGAGAGCGAGAGAGAGGCAAGTGTAACAATAACAGATGTAACTGAGGGTTTTTTCTTTGTTTAAGGGCAGTCGCTGAAACCATTAACAAACTTAAGAATACGTTTTAAGGATATGTTTCTTATTTTCCACATATACAAATATTCATTCAGTTTCCCTCTATGTTTTTGTTGTGGTTGTCCATGCCACTCCTGCAGAGCTGCTGTGCCTTACAGATAGAGGAGGCTTCAGAAGGCGCTTGCAATAAGGAAACATAGGTCTTTCCTTTCACAGATCACTCTCTGTCTCCCATTTTCACTGGGAGGAGTTAAGATGCAGGGAAGAGAAAAAAGTGAGGGAAGCTTGAAGACATGCTAGCATAATAAAAAGCACCCATTGCTCTACAGCTAAGATCGATTCACAGCAAGTAAGGAGAAGAAGAACGATTACAACGCCTAATTACTCTTAATGTGAGGCAGACTTGAAACTATTCTTTAAACTTTCCTGTCATGGGGCATTCAATGAAGGTTAATATAAAGTTGGATTAGGACAAGGATTGTCTTGAATTGTCGTGGAGTTTTTGAGTCTTCTTTGCAAACACACACACACACACACACACACACACACACACACAATGTACATGTAAACACAGAGAGATACAAAAGAAAGTGACGTAGAGAAGACAGAACAAAAAGGGGAGCTGCAGAGAGGAACAGCGAGAACCAGACAGACAATTACAAGAGAGAAAGAAAATAAAGCAGAGGAATATGGGGAGAGACGGTGGTAAAGAGGAGCGAGAGAGTCTGAGTGTGTAAATAGAGTTTAAATGTGCAGTAGGAATGAAATTCGCCTTGGGATTGCCTAGGTAAACAAGACAGCCGAGGCTTTGGTGGAGATGCTAATAAAACAGAGCTGTTCTTATCAGCTGAGCAGATGGCCTAACCCATCACATCTCCTCAAAGTGGGCCTAAGCCATCAGCATTCTAATGAAATTATTTATGATCTAAGATTACGTTCCAAACCTTAAACATACAGCGCCACGTTTACCTTCCCGAAAAGATGAGGACGGCCGGGCACAGAGGAGGTTTATGATGAGAAAGACACAGCCAGAAAGGGCAGGTAGACGGGGTTCGGGGAGGGGGGCGAGCGCGAATATACAGTGTGTTTATGGACACAAGCAATGAGATGGAAAAACGCACAACAGGAAAGAAGGGAAGGTGGGAGGGAGAGGACAAAACACTTCAATATACTTTGCTGGTGAGTGGAGGCGGACACAGGGGAGAGGGGAAGGACAGACAAACAATGTTCTGAGTGAAAAAGTATAAGTGGTTGTTTGTTTTAGAGGGCATGTCGCCCCTGTGGACCGCCCCAGCCCCGCGTCTCCTGTCCCCCCGTCTGACCCCTCTGCCCTGGCTTACCACCCGGGCCACTCCCCTGACAGTGGGGTTGCTTAGCCGACTTAGCCCAGGTCAGGCACCTTGACCAAGGGCACAGCCCTCCGCCCATTCCCCTGGCGCACAGGTATCTTTTTTCTTTTTTGTCTGGCTCACTTGGTTTTCAGGCCCGGGAGCACGAGGGATAAACCTGGGAGCGACACATAGCAGATGAGGCAGGGGGGAGAAGACATGGAAACAGAAGAGGGGAGGGCAGAATAGCTGGAGAGACAAAGGTTGGAGAAGATGAGGGAGGAGACATGAAAAGGATGGAGGAGTAAAAGTAGGATAAAAAAAAGGGATAAATGGGGTAAAGAGGAGGGAGGAAGGATGGTAGATTGAGGGAGGAGAGAATTGATCTGCGAATGGTTAGTATGCAGCCCCCACTCCACCTCCGCCCCACCCCATCTTCCCCTCCCTCCTCTCCTCTCCTCTCCCATCAGTCAGTGAGGGCTGAGGGCTGAGAGTATGTTGTGGACCACTGCCCGGATGCCTCATACATATTAAAGCCCCCTGCTATTATTTATATCATGTCTCTGCTTCCCCTGCTCGCTGCCCCTCGTCCCCACCACACCACCATACATGCATGCACGTGCATCTCTGCGCGCACACACACACAGGTTCACACAGATGCGCTGACAGACAACTACTCGCACAAACAGTGACACACAATGACACACGGAGACATAAAAACAGACAGTCTAGTCACATACGCAGGGAAACAGAGGCGCGCCGTGTGCTTGCATAGGCACAAACGCACACACGCAGACACACACACGCTCTCAGAGAGATTTGAATGATCTCGGTCTCTCCTCACGCCTCCCTTTGCGCCACATTCTATACCTGTTTTTATGTCTGAGCCTGACTCATCCTCTCAATCGCTTCGTCCCTTCCTCATCTTCTCATTTCTGTCTGATCTTTTTTCAAGCTCGCCCTCCTGCTTGAGATGAAGTGATATTATTCGGATAGTTCTTAAGCCCGGTAAAGCCCATAAGGACCTGTTCGCCTCTCTACCTTGTTTTTCAACACCACCGGGTCGAGGGATTTTGCCTCTTTCAAATGGCTGGTCCAGTGTTCTGAGCAGACTTGGTCCTTGAGAATGACAATGTGCTAACAATTACATATACATGGATAAGTATACAAACAGATAGATACTGATATAATCGGTAACATGAAATGCTCAAAGCGAGGTTCATCCAGAGTTTAATAGAGATATCCAGCCATTTAATGGACAGCTGCAAACTCTTAACTTTAAAACATTAATGAACGAGTCCGTTTTGATGTCAGACTCAAAAAGCACGCAGCTGTAGAGTGCTGACGTATTATCGACGCTGAGGAGAAGAAGGATCGGTAAACAAAAACACTGAATTTTCCTCGTGTTAAAAATTCTTGATTAAAAAGAGTTTGCTGACGTACGTGAAGGTCAGCTAGCACAGTGCTGTTGGTCTCCACATTTACCAGCCTCACCTGTTAGAGCTGGACAGAGAACGAGGGAGAAATAAATACATTAGACCTCAACAGCACAGTCTTTGGAAGTGAAAAAGTGAAAAGAGTTTGCCAACTGAGAGCCAAACACACACACACGCTTGCTGTATATTACTCTGCTGAGCCGTTATCAGAGCTTCTGCTTATCACTGTGGGAGCTGCGATCCAGTGTGCTCTTATGTGATGCATGAGGTTAGCTGAGAAAAGAGACATTTTTATAAAGAAAAGAAATGTAAATAATGTCATTCATTTAATTCCCCTTTGTGTAGGGGGGCATATATTTTGAGGTTTCTGCTTTTTATTAGACCCCTGAACTATCTGAAACCTGTGTTGCTCAATGTCTTAATGGTTAAAATGCATAAGATTTAATTGATTTTTCTTATCTTGGACTTTCTCAGTAACTGCATTTATTATTGTCTTGATGCTATCAGATATTAAAATCCTCAAATATCTATCCAAATATGTTCCCAGGTCAGCATGGTCAGCCGTTCTCGCACGTTTTCAAAGTGTGACAGTAGCACAGTTGTTACGGGATAATTACTTTTCGAGTCTTGCAAGTATGCAGGGCAGCCTCTCCATATGGTGCCCATCAAATCTAGTATTTAATAATATGTTTATTACAGGTGGCGCAGTTGCGAAATGTGGCACCGTCTCCCAAGAAATTAAGGCCTGCGTGTCTGGCGCTGAATAACATAAGGGGTGATAAAACCTCGTCTGTCATCTCCCCTCACTCGGTGGGGTTTCCTACATCTTTACCCCTCTCTGTTCCCTCATTGTCGATCGCTCTTATTCGCCTGCTCCCGCCTTCCTGTTCCCCTTCTTCCTCTCCCCCGGCTGTGATGTCCTTGAGGGCCTGCTGAAGCTCCCATAAAGCCTGCAGTAAATGGCTCTAATCCGGTAATAAATGGCTGTGTCCTACAGACAAGGGTGTGAGGCTGCTGCAGCCACGGCTTTATCAGATGGAATAGTATTGGCACACACACAAATGCGCGCACACACACACAGACACACACATTCACAGATGTAATGGAACCTGCATAGATGTGTGTAAGCATGCATGCCCCCCCTTTTCTGCTTCTCTCTCACACACACACTTATTCATGCTGCTTCAGATGGAATCACACCTTCTTCAATTGTGCCGCTTTTATGGATGCCATGCAAGAGCAGTGCCATTATTGCCTTTAAATGATTAGAGATGCGACTATGATGCATTATGATGATAGGATCATATAGAGCTGTATGAGCTGTTACGCTGCTGCCTGCTGGGATAGACTGTAACTGAATGAAGGAGCTGGGAGGGACACGGGGAATAAGAAGTATAGTAATGTGACCTTTGGAGATAGTTGGAGTTCACCTGTTTTTAATCAGCAAATACAATTGATTTTTATCTCCTCCTGGTTTTATTTGTGTAGCACTGTAGTCACTTGATCCTCCGAGACAGGACTTAAATGTGTGTGTGTATGTGTGCGCGAGCATGTTGGAGGGGTGGCAGGTGGGGCTGTCTTACATCCTCTCATTCCTTGTTCAGTTGTAACCCAGAGCGGCACTTTCATTTTCCCGTCATAACATATATTGATTTTTTTTTCAGTGCACTTGTGTGTGTGTGTGTCTGTGTGTATTTGTAGGCGTGTGCTCGCTCACGTATAGTTATTTTTGCACAAAGCGTCTGGTTTTGATCGGTTTGTGTGTGCTTCTCTTCAGGTGGAGCTGACTGGCAGCAGTGTGTTCGACTACATCCACCCAGCGGACCACGTCGAGATGGCGGAGCGGCTGGGAATCAGGCCACATCTACGGGCCGAGGCCGGCTGTCACACAGCCCCTGAGAGCGCTTCCAGCTCTGCGTCCACCTCCTCCTTAGCTGGTACCCCTGAACCCGGTACTGTCATGGCAAGAAAGCAGAAAGAAATATAACAAATACATAATATGATTTTCAACAATTCACTGTGCTCAAATGGCATTACTAAGACAAAAGTCAAAAAAATATATTCTTGAAACAGCTAATGTTATTTTCTCATCCCCAGCAGCTCCATCCAGTCCTCATTCTCCTGCCGACGATCCACCCGAGCGTGGCTTTTTTATCCGCATGAAGTCCACGCTCACCAAAAGAGGCCTGCATGTCAAGTCTTCTGGATACAAGGTATGAGAGAAAATGCGCCACCATAATTTGAGAACATATTATGCATTCCTTAGCTTACTTGCATGTGTTCGGAATAAAATAACAATTTGGGTTTGTGCTGCTGGTGTTTCACACACACGCACAAGGTGGTCATTGCCAGTATATTTTATGGCTGTGCCCTTATTTCGCTCTGAACCGCTCCACGTATCACAGTTTACTGCGCTCACTGCTAATATGTCCAAGTTTATTACATATTGATAAATGCTACATTTTCTAAATCAGTGCATCAAACAGCTCTGATTCCACCTGATCTTTATTTAGTAATCCTCTTATAGACTGGCTTGTGCGTATGAGTGCGTAAGAAAGACTTTGTGCTTGTCAGGTAATCCACGTGACGGGACGAATCCGCTGCCGCCCCGCTCTCGTCCCGGGCTCCACCCGATCAGTGCGTCGACCAATGGGTTTGGTTGCGCTGGCGCACACTCTCCCGCCCTCCACGCTTAATGAAGTCCGCATGGAGAGCCACATGTTTGTGTTCCGAGTGAACATGGACCTACAGGTTACATACTGTGAGAACAGGTAATCCATCTATTGTTTTGCCTTTTGGGAGTCGCTCTATCTTTCATGTTTTTTCATGAGGAGCTGGCAAAGCACCCAGCCAGTTGGTGGTGTTAGCACACACATCTGCTTCTGTTTGGCTGACAAATGTGTGTGTGTGTTTTTTGTTTGTTTGTTTTTTTTCTTCCTCCAATGCTCTACAGGATCTCTGAGTATATGGATCTGACTCCAGCAGAGGTAGTGGGACATACCTGTTACCATTTCATCCATGTAGAAGACCTGGAGAACCTCCGGCAGAGCCACGAGGACTGTGAGTCACATACATATGGATACGTATAATATATGACGTTCATCCCCATCCCTCTCTTTCTTCAAGTATCTGAACTTGGCAGAGCTGCTACAAGAGCCTGTTGAAATCTCCTCCTGTACTGTTGTTAGAGGCGCCCTCTGCTGCCACCTTCATGAACTGTCAAACCATTAACAGGTTTCTTTTCTTCCCATCTTTGCTCCTCAGTGCTAAGAAAAGGCCAGGTAGTGACTGGTTATTATCGCTGGCTCCAGAGGAGAGGAGGGTACCTGTGGATCCAGTCCACTGCCACTGTGTCCATCAACCACAAAGCCCCCCACGAACGCAACGTTATCTGGGTTAACTACGTCCTGAGGTCAGTAGAACCGGAGCAAAGCTGAAACCGCCGTTTCTCCACGAGTGCTGTTAGGAAGTCATTTTATGTATGCAGGCATCACACTGTGTACAGAGACCCTTTGAAGGGATAGCTGATGAAATGTAGAGGGATTATTGGGATAGGGAGGTTCATTTATTCCAGCATGTGAGAAAACTGGTAAGGATACACACGAAACGAGGAGATCAAAGCAGCAAACCACTGCCTAATTAATGTAATGGTTATTTTTGATTTTATTATAAATCTTGAAAGATTGGCTAAAATATCATTAAATTCTTCTTATTCTTTTAATAGATTTTTAGATTAGTTTGAATTTGCTAATGTTTCTGACAGTTTCTATGCGTCACGACCAACATACAGTAAAATTTGCGGCTTCAAAAAGCCGTACTTTTTCTTTCAAAATGTTCCTCATTCGACAGTCAAATGTTTATTTTATCTTGTATTTTAAATAGTAATTAGTAAAAGTTATCACTTTTTCATACCTTTTGCAGTTCGGGTTTTTTCATCCTGCATAATGTTCCTTTATGCATTATTCTATTGTTATTTAACGCTATTATTCTGAATAAGCAGACACCCTGTTACAGAAAGCTCCAAATCAGATTAAGAAAATTTTGAAAAACCTTGCACCTTGATTTCTTTTTAAATATAAATTACCTTTTAAGTGTCATATTACCTTTGTTTAAGGCTTTGGTGTGTTTACCACGGAGCGAGCGCGAGAGAACACAACAGAACGCGCGCATAGCAGCAGAGCAGTCAGACAAAAACAAGAGGAGTAGGCTGAATTTCAATGCTAATTGGACTGAAGCTATATAATTACAACAAATGGATGTCAGAATTTTGGGGCTGAATGGTGTTTTAGTTAATTAGTGCTGTAATTACAAGAGCTCATTAACTTCTCCAACAGCCTCCTCCTTGTCTGAGCTTAACTGTGTATAGGTGGGCTGCTGAGTGGAGCATTTGTGTGTGTGTGTGTGTGTGTGTGTGTGTGTGTGTGCATCTGCGTGTGTTTCGGGGGGTGCGGTCTGCCTGTGTGTCTGTTTGCATGTGTCAGTGTTTGTGCATGTGTGATAAGGGCTGTTGGAAGGAGTGAGTGTGTGTTAGATGGAGGTTAGAAGGGTGTGAGGCAGTTTGGCTATTGGAGGTAGTTATTAGGCTGATTATATGTTGTTTCCATCTCTAAGTATTCACTTAAATCAGCATGGCATTCCTGTTTTTTTTTAAGTGTAAGTGGCTTTAAGTGGTAGATGATTTGTGTATACATCCAGCTTTTCACTCTCTCCCTTTCTCTTTTTTCCCATTTTTTTTTACATCTATCCATCCAGTCGAACAGAGCTGCCCGACACTCCCCTGGATCTGCTGCAGCTACCAGAGAGCATAAGAGCAGAGCGACTTCGAATCAGCTCGTCCCCGACCGATGGCTCCACACAGGCCCGAGGTACCACACTACGTACATTGCTACCTTACTGTGACGTCCCATTGATGCACTCGCCCGTGCCTCATCGTGTCATAAAAATCTCCTTCCTCCTCAGGCTCGCAACCTGTGAAGAGCTCAGTGGGGAAAAGCGACCCTGACACTAAAGGCAGAGACAAATTCACCACCACGGCCATTCAATCAGAGGACAGGAGGAAGCGCCTGCTGAGGTCTGACCCGGAGGGCGCACCTCCCGAAACCCGTCGCAGACTGGAGGAGCTCCGTCACACGGAGGAGAGTGTCTCTGCCTCCTCAGACCTGGCGAGCGAAAGCGAGGGGGAAGAGGAAGATGAAACCGAGTGGGACCAGGGAGGCGACAGCGACAGATTGAAACGGGAAGACAGCGGAGGAGGAGGTAAACAGAGCAGAGGAGGAGACACCCCGACGAGAGGGGAGAGGGGAGGGAGGGTGCACAATGGCCGGGCTGTGATCCAGCAGCTGAAAAGTGTAGTGACTCCATCTCCCCTGCCCGGCAGCCCAGGCATCAAGACTGAGCATGAAGCCCTGACCACCGGGGGGCGCTGGGGATCACACACTCAAACTTCCACCTCACACACACACACCACTCAGCCCCAGCCCTCGCATGCACACACGCCGTCCAGCAGCCTCAATGGTGACAGCCCCACCACCCCGATCCCGGACTCCTCTTCCAGCAGCGAAGCCCCACCGAAGGGTTTGTTCACTCCCCCGTCCCCAGCTTTGTCCCCCGCCATGCCCGTGTCCTCCCCGTTGCCCCGCGAGGACAGGGCTGTGTCGGCGGGGGTGGTCAGCCGGAGCAGTGGCGGTAGTGGTGGTTTAGGTAACGGTCCTGACTTTGAGCTGCTTCAGAGACTGGCTGCTGGAAGTGCAGCGGGCCGGGTCCTCTTCCACCCCCTTGCCCTCGGCCCGCAGGGCCCTCAGAGCCTCTATGCCCCAAGCACTATCCGCTACGCTCCACCTGAGCTCCCCCCTTCCCACCACCACAGCACAGGACACAGTGATGGCCTGCAGCTACGCTCGGACCACCACAAGGGACCCCCACCGGCCTTCTTCCCCCACCTACAGCGGCTGGCCGGCCTTCCACCCTTCAGTGGTTTCTCCCCATCTGACAGCCCCTTCTCCTCTAGCCTGCCCTTCTGTATGAATGGACTGAGGGGGGCTGCGGGCACAGAGGAGGACTGAGTCTCAGAGGGGAGGATGTGAGAGGAGAAAATAAACTGAAGGAGAGAGCGGAGTGACAGGACGGAAAGAGAGACATTGAAAAGGGCAGGAGAGACAGAAGTGGCAGTAGATTAAACCTCTGAGGACGTTACTAATTGGACAATGAGTTGAATAACTGCAATCTAAAGTGTGTGACAAGCCGCTGCCATAGGATTTTATCATGTCAGCCTGTTGTGTACGAGTGACAGTGACTCTCAGAGAAACGGGGACATGGAAACTTTTGACTGGTTGTCCCTCAAGACTTTTCATCTTCGCGACAACAACGAACTCTGCTCTGTGACTTTCTCTAGATGACTGTGTTGATTTATGTGTCTCTTCCACTCAGAGAAGCCATATTGTACATAGAGAGAAAACCATGACGACCCTCAGCTCACATCCTCACCGTCAATGTCCGTCACCGCACATTAACCCAATTAACCCTAAAACCAGTAGGAAGAGATGGGCACTCGTCTGTAGGAATAAAAATGACTTTGGAATATAAATTTTTATTATTGCAGTATTATACAAATCATCTCTTTCAGTGGGCTCCGGGTGACAGTTTGATTATAGGGTTTCAACTTAAAATAGGTGGAGACAGCTTTTTGGTGTTTTGTATCGATACTTAAAATAATAATATAAAACAATAATATTGAAAAAAAGATCCAAGTATTCATCGATTCAGCCATACTAAAAGCACACTTTTGGGACAAAAGTATGATTAAAGTAGTCCCAGACATTCCATTATATATAAGGGAAGGAAATGCAATGCAGACAGGACGCTATTTGTATTGTTTGATTATAGGAAGGCGATTTGTTTAACTGATTATGACTTCTAGTGTATCATGACAATGTACAATGCTGCAGTTGTGTTTGTGTATGAAAGCCATATTCTTGTTTGTTTTTAGGTTTATATTGTTTTTCTTCACCAGGTGAAACCGATTGGGAAATTGTTTAAAATACGACTGTTTTAGTGGATGAAAAAAAATGTGAAAATGCTTTAGGAGGGGAAATGTGCTGGACAGAAGTGTTTTTATCATTTAAACATGTTTTGTTTTTTTTGTTTTTTTTTGAGCACTTACCGAAATTTGTTCTGGTGTGAACTCTAAAGCACTTCACGGTTCGGCGTGTGATCCTGTTAAAACAGAAAACAATGCAAGAGCGGCCGCTAATATCATAGCCTGAGCACGGTATGTGGAGTGGGGGGGTGGGGGATATAAATGCTCATTTAGAAAGGCAGGTAAATAAACAAGACCACATGTGGTCATTAAAATGTGACCGTCGGAGGTCGATAAAACAAAACAGAATTGTTCTGATATTGGTTTCAGTTCAAGCGAGTCAACTGGAGATAAAGTTTTAAATTAAAAAGTGGGGATATGAAACACTTTAAATTTCAGTTTCATAGCAATTGATTGGAGCTCCTCTCAGGAAAAACAAAACACTTTTGACTTGGAAAAAATGAAACAACTAAAACAAAATTATACATATATGTGTAAGAAAATCACAACTAAAATAATAAAGAAGAAGGAGAATTCATAAATAATAACATTTGGAAATTTCACCCGGCCAAACTCATCAGGAAAAAGAAGTGAGAAGAATAAAATTTAACCACGATATGCAGTGATATAAGCTGTGAGAGAGATACGTTAAAAACAGTCTAGCACTTTGTAATAAGGTCGTCTGATCTGCCATGTTAGCCAAATACATGTAAATTTATATATACAGCAATTTGTTGAAAGCCAGGCCTTCTGGCACTATTTTCTTTGTCCTTCTTCTAAATTGAGATTATGATCGACAGCCTGATCTGAGGGTTCGCTTCATGGAACCGCTCATATCGTCACGTCTGACAGAGGCGGGGTGGGGCTGGGTGGGGGTTTTAAAAAAAAGACGGGGCGGGGGAAAGGGTGCACTACACACCCATACTACAAATATGTGTCAGCGCACATATTCTCGGGTGTTTACTGGTATAATAAGTGTGTGTGTGTGTTTGAATGCGGGCGTGTTCGCCTGTTAAAAGTGTGTGAGTGAGTTTGGATTTTGTTTTGTTTTTGGGTTTTTCTGTTGTTGTTGAATTAAACGGCTAACCCCTCGCCCATCACTGTGAATCTAACATTATTCTCCCATCTTTGTGAATACTCCACCCACTCGTCAAATAAAATGAACAAATGTAAAAATAATAACAGTGATACAGATGATGATGATGATAACAATAAAATATTCCAGTAGAGGAGCACAACTCAATGTCGGTTGTTTCTTTCTTGCTTTTGCAGGCGTGGAGAGTAAGCAGTTGTGATATCTGAAGTTTTAAATGTGTTGATGCTTTCGATTTCTACATATAGCTCCTTGAGATTTCATGTGATTTAAATAGATACAATTTTTTCTGCACTCACATTTGTTAATTCTTTTCATTTAACATGCATATTCTGAGTACTTAGAAGACAAATGCAGAGAGGATGTGTTGATTCTTGCACAGTTCTTTATTAAAATAGATAGATAGATAGATAGATAGATAGATAGATAGATAGTTAGTTAGTTAGTTAGTTAGTTAGTGCAGGTCAGACTAGACATCACTTGAGTGTTAGTTGCTTTGAAATAAACCCAGAAGCGCAGAGAGTCTCTCACTTATAGGTGTTCATGCATTACCACGTGTGTGTGTACATTGGCCGTTTGCTTGCATGTCTGTCTGTGTGTGTGTGCGTGCATTTCCGTGAATTTGTGTGTGTTGTCTGAAGCAGCCCCAGGGAGGGGCTCTGACATTGAAGACGGGTTAAATCCTGTTTTACATTCAAGTGGCAGGCCGTAGTTCATTAGAGTGAGGATCATTCCTCCTCAAGACCAAAGGAAGCGCATACTAAACAAGAGCAGTTGTTGGGGAGAAAATGCCATTGTACGTGCAAAACCGTATGTACTGTATAAGTGGGTGTGTGTGCTGATGTGCCGTGAATTGAGTTACAAAATAACCTCTCTTCTTTATCTCTTCTTTTCTATGGAGTAACATCTTTATAGAGGGAAGTAAAGGTGCGGCTTCTGCAGATTAAATCACCGTGGGTTATATGTGTGTGTGTGTGTGTGTGTGTGTGTGTGTGTGTGTGTGTGTGTGTGTGTGTGTGTGTGTGTGTGTGTGTGTGTGTGTGTGTGTGTGTGTGTGGCGGTGGCATTTCTCCTGACTGTCTTCTTCTCAGCCTGTCACTGAGCCACCCGTACGCCCTCTCTGTCACTAACTTTGATGGCTTATCTTACCCCTTGAATTAGAGTCGTGCTCCTTGGGGAAATACCTTACCACATGTAAATGGATTTGAAAAAAAAAGTACAAATATGGAAAGGAATAATAGCGTGAAGGACGGAGGGAGACAGCCAGACAGTTTCCATCTGACATGGGCTCACTACATTTCTCAGGCTCTTTTTCCCTGATTCTTTTCTACCTCTATGATTTTCATCTTTGCCATTGTTTCCCAACAATCACCCCTTTCTCCTCTCAGCCAGGAGAAGGCCAATCCATACTTAATGTAGTTCTTAAGGCAGATCCTTTGATCCGTACGTATGGCATTTAACACCTGAAAGCAGATGAGCACTCGGCGCTCAAAATAAGCAGAGGTTAAGACTCCAACTTTCGATGCTGAGAGCGTAGATGTGAAGCTGAGGTTTGGAGATGTATGAGGCCAGACCTGGACTTTGGGGTATGTTGTGCTGGCGTTATGGTTCCTATAGCTGCTCTGGGTCTGGCGTAGATGGTGTTTATCAGTGAGGGCGCGTCTCCTGCCTCTGGGCGCACTGCCCTTTAGACGCGCCAGGCCTCAGGAGCCTCCTGCATGCCAAACAGACCTGTGCAGTCAGATGCAGCCACGGAGGAGCAAAACGGAGAAGAGGTGGGAGGGGAGGAGTAGGGAACGTGAGGAGGAGACCAGAAAGAAAGGACTTGAGGGTGAAAGGGTAGAAGAGGATCTGAGGAAGAGAGCTGAAAGGGGCTCAGGGAGGAGGAGGTGGTTGTGTGTGTGTGTGTGTGTGTGTGTGTGTGGGGTGGGGGGGGGTGCTCGTCACACTGCTGCAGTAGCCATCTAGCCTATTCGCACCCTGCATGTGAAACACAACTGCTCCAAAACGCCATGGGTATCTGCAAAGGAGAGGTGGGAGGGAAGGAGAGGACAGCCGGAGTGAAGAAGGAGAGGAGAGGAGGAGAGGGTGACTCCGAGGTGAGTCTCAACAGCAACACTGTGTGTCGATAGCTGGGAGATATCACAGACCTTCGCCCTAACCCAGTCAGAGATAGTAATCACAGACAAAGCCCCCCCATGACTAACACTCCCCCCACACACACACACAACCACATGCTGCCCGTTTGAGTTCAGATATTCACACATGCTCGCCGATGAGCAGCTCGTTATAAAAATTATTCATGTACAGCATGAATAGACGTCTATGTGTGCACGGACAGTTTTTACATCTTTTGACTCCTGCTGCAGGGAGCCTTAACTACAAACTCTGACAGCACGTATACATTATACTGGGCACTGTCTGCATGAACCAAAAAAAAAAAATTAAAAAGCAATATACACGTTGAGATTTATGTGGTTTGATAATTTGCTTCAGCTGAAGGTTTTTGATTTCTTAAGGTGCAGGAGAGAGATGTTTACACATCTCCCCTTCTCATGTATGTCCGCAAGTATTTATTCACAGTATGTGTGTGCTCTCCATATTAGTGATTTTTTTAAATGGCCCCAGCTGTTAATCCTGAAGTCACTGAGAACATGCCCTTCGGGGGATTTATAATTGATCAGTTTCATCACATTTTATGAGATAATTCGTCTATTATGAAACTCTCCGTAGAGTTTGGTCAAAAACACCAACAACAAACATATCTGAGGTCTCATTCGATGGGTCATTAAAGGATACGCACTGATGTAACTCGACAGATTTCTTCTTGTTTTATTACTGTATATACAGTAGAGTGCACAGGAAGTCGTGCATTAAAAAAAAAAAAAGTAAACAATGTTGAACCCCATCTCCACATCTGCATTCAAACTCTTTAATGATCAACAACCCTTCACATCCATTAAATAAGCAATCATAGTGATTATAGTGTGGAATTCACTCAGAAACATGGCTACAGCAATACAGAGTGTGTGTAAATAATCACAGGAAAGCCTGTGAAAAATAGGCTTTGCTTCTAAAACTGTAGTTACTAAAGTTTCAAACTAAAGCGACAGAAGTGCTATTGCCCTTCGAAAACAAAATAATAATGGAAAAAAAAAAAAGCTGGAAAAAAACAAATTAAAAACCCTCAGAGATTTTTGATCAAAACAAAATTACAGACCTGAAACACACACTCCGCAGTCCTCCTCGTAGGTCTCGCAGTTTATCACATCCAGCTTGTTTTAGTTCCACGCTTTCAAGAAAACTTCAAGTAGTCATTCACAGTTAATTATACTGAATAAGACAAACAGCACCCAACAACAGTTGGCTGTGAATGAGGATTAAAATGATATAGGGCAGCAAAAAGTAAACTTGAAGAAATAACGTGGCGTTCTCGGCGAGTCTTTGCAGAATGTAAAAAGAAAAAGAAAACAATTCAGACTGATGAAGTAAGAGACTCAGCTCTGGCTACATGTAGTTATAACAAAACTTACAAAATGTTGATTTATTTTCGAAGGTAGTTAAACTACCCAATTACCAGCATGTTTCACAAATTTCTTCGACCAGTTTTCAAAAAGGTCTTAAAAGTCTTTCCCCACATTAATATTGATCTTGATAACAACAGATAATAAGATCGTATCTACAGACTCACACACGGCCTGCATATGTAGGTTGCTTATACACGCACATGTACACAAAATCCACACACATACAAATAAGGGAAACCCTGAATTGGAGCAGCACACATGCACAGCTTTCCACTCTGCATTCCTGGAAGACCTCTACTTGTTTTGCCCCTTGCCGTCACTGTCCTCACTGTCGTGGGGGCCACGGTAACCCCGGTGTTCGCGCCTCTCCCGGCACTCTCGGCACTCCTCTTCATCCTCTCCCTCCTCTCCCTCGTGGATGATCTCCACCTCTAATCGTCCGATGTAGAGCGATACAGCGCAGAGCCAGAAGAGGGCGACGCTGCCCACCACGGCTCCTTGGAACAGCAGTGCTGGCACAGACAGCAGCATCATCCTCCGCAAGGCAAAGAGGCTGCCAATATACGAGGCACCGCCAAACGACACGCACGCACCTCCCAGGATAAAGAAGGCTGAGGAAAAACAGATTGACATGGTATTATTGTAGAAACCCAATTAATTTCCTCATAAGTCACTGTAATTAAAGCTGGCATGGAGGCAGGTTGAATCGACTTTTCCTTTTAATTATTTAGATTAAAATAAAAGATTAAGTGGAAGATTTTCTGGCATCAAACTTATTTCAGAAGTTATACAAACCGTTCCCGTGATTTAGCATTGAGAATACATCAAGTAGGTCAGCAGCTTTCATTTTGACATAAATAATACCGCGTTCCTTCGATTTACT